CACGGCGGCCCCCCTTCCCTTCCCTTCCTTCCAGGCGGGGGGGGGGGGGGAGGGAGAGGCAGGCGCGGGAAGGGCCGTCCCCAAATTTAGGGGGGGGGGCGGCGAGCAAATGGGTGGTGTCAGCAGAGAGAGCCCCTCCCTGCCTAGATAAGATAACCCCTGTTAGTGAGCCAAGCCAGGTCTTGCTCTGAATGTGGGTTGTCAGCGGAGAGAGCCTCTCTGTGCCTAGATGGCTCCTAACAGTGAGCCAAGCCAGATCTTAATCTAAATTCAGGGTATCAGCGGAGAGAGCCTCTTCCAGCCTAGATGGCTCCTGCCAGTGAGCCAAGCCAGATCTCCAAATTCGGGGTGTCAGCAGAGAGCCTCTCTGTGCCTAGATGGCTGCTGCCAGTGAGCCAAGCCAGATCTTAATCTAAATTCAGGGTATCAGCGGAGAGAGCCTCTTCCAGCCTAGATGGCTCCTGCCAGTGAGCCAAGCCAGATCTCCTCCAAATTCAGGGTGTAAGCAGAGAGCCTCTTCGTGCCTACATGGCTCCTGCCAGTGAGTCAAGCCAGGTCTCACTCTGAATTCAGGGTATCAGCGTAGAAAGCCTCTTCCTGTCTAGATGGCTCCAGCCAGTAAGCCAAGTCATATCTCGCTCTAAATTCGGGGTATCAGCGGACAGAGCCTCTTCCTGTCTAGATGGCTCCAGCCAGCGAGCCAAGCCAGATGTCCTCCAAATTCGGGGTGTAAGCAGAGAGAGCCTCTCTCTGCCTAGATAGCACTTAGCACTAGCACTTACACTTCTATACCTCTTCACAGTTTTTTTACAGCCATATCTAAGAGATTTATAGAGTCAGCATCTTGTCCCCTAACATTGGGCTTTTTAACCTTTTCACCCATTGTACCACTTTTAGGATAGGGCAACATCCGAGTACCACGAGTCGCCTAGCAAGGTGTTAAATACTTGACGACCCAAAAAAGAAAAAAAAAAAAAGTGATAAAGTACAGGTAGTCCTCGACTTACAACAGTTCACTGAGTGACTGTTGGAAGTTATAATGGCACTGAAAAAAGTGCCCCCCAAGCCACAGCCGAGCAAAACACCTGCCTGCTGTCCGAAGTTTTCATTGTTGTGAGCATTTCTGTTGAGGATTGGCAGTGGGGGTGGGGTGGGGGTGGGGTTGGTTTTTATTCCCCCCCCCCCGTCTGCTTGGGTGGTTGCAGCAGGTTTGGGTCACTTCACATGACCATGGGACACTGTGACCGTCATAAATAGGAATCAGTTGCCAAGCCTCTGAATGTAAATCACAAGACCCTGGAGAGGCTGCAACATTCCAGCTGATGGGCGCTTCTTCTGGGCTCAGCAGAAGCGCCAGGATCAGTGCTGAGCTCCAGGTGATAAGTGCTTCTTCAGGGCTCAGTGGAAGCACCAGGACCAGCGCCAAGCTCCTGCTGGACCCTGGCGCTGATCCTGGCGCTTCCGCTGAGCCCTGACAGCCCTGCAGCTCCAGCCATTTCTTGCTCAGGCTTGTGCGGTGCTGCCACCGGTTTAGCTCATTCCCCTCTCCCGCTATTTTTCTAGGATGGTCGCGTACCACCTGCCAGGTGCTGCCAATGTACCACAGGTGGTACCCGTACCACTGGTTGAAAAGCCCTGCCCTAACAATCTGGAAAGATGGAAAGCTGAGTCCACCTTGAGCCAGTTAGGATCGAACTGATGACAGTCAGCAGCATTAGCCTTCAACCCTGCATTCTAACCCTCGCGACCACTTAGATGACTCCTGTCAGTGAGCCAAGCAAGGTCTTGCTTGCAAGCAGACTGCATGGCACCTTTTTCCAACTCGGCTTGCACTACTGTTCCCATTATCCTGCGGAAGAAGGAGTTGGAGGGTGGGGGGTGTTGCTCTGCAAACTGGACATCATCCTGATGTCTTCTGCTTTGGATTATGGACAATTTTGAAAAAAGTGACACGGCTGTTTTTTACACTTATGACTATTGCAGCATCCTTGTGGTCACGTGATCCCAAATTCAGATGTTCTGCAACTGACAGTTTCTGGGTCCTGGGCTCATGTGATCCCCTTTTGTGATCTTCTGACTAGCAAAGTCAATGGGGAAGTCAGATTTATTTAACAACCGTGTGACTAACTTTAATAATAATAATAATAATAATAATAGCTGGGAAAGCAGATAATAACAAGACCTGGCAATGGCTAAGAGCAGGAAAGTTGAAGAAAGAGACACGGGGACTAATTCTGGCTGCACAAGACCAAGCCTTAAGGACAAATGCATACAAAGTCAAAATTGAGAAGACAGCAACAGACAGTAAGTGCCGCCTATGCAAAGAAGCTGAAGAAACAGTGGACCACTTGGTAAGCTGTTGCAAGAAGATTGCACAGACTGATTACAAGCAGCGGCATGACAAAGTAGCAACAATGGTGCATTGGAAGATCTGCAAAAAATATCATTTGCCTGTAAGCAAAAACTGGTGGGATCATAAAATAGAGAAAGTCATAGAAAATGATAAAATTAAACTGCTCTGGGACTTCAGAATTCAAACAGACAAGCACCTGCAACATAACACCCCAGACTTAACAATTGTCGATAAGAAAGACAAAAAAGTCTGGATAGTGGACGTGGCAGTGCCTGGAGACAGCAGAAAAGACGAGAAAGAACTGGAAAAGATCACAAAATACAAAGACCTACAAATAGAAATAGAAAGACTGTGGCAAAGGCAAGCAAGGGGAATACCAATAGTCATAGGCTCCTTTGGTGCAATCCCAAAACAACTGGAGCACCACTTGAACACCATCGGCACTGACAAATTCGCTATTAGTCAATTGCAAAAGGCGGCCTTACTAGGAACTGCTTCCATCCTACGACGAGATCTGTAATACCATCAAACATCCACATCTGCCTATCCCAGGTCCTGGGTAAGGACTCGATAGGTAGACAAAAATGCCAAATCCAGTCTGAACATCTGGCTGACTGTGCAATGATTAATAATAATAATAATAATAATAATAATAATAATAATAATAATGATGATGATGATGATGATGATATTGGAAGGGACCTTGGAGGTCATCTAGTCTAACCCGCTGCTCAGGCAGGAAACTCTATACCATTTCAGACAAATGGCTGTCCGGTCTCTTCTTAAAAAACTTCCAGTGCAGTGAGTCACTTAACAACGATGGCCAGAAAGTTGTAAACTGGGGCAAAACTCACTTGAGGGAGGATGATAAAACAGCCCCGCTGGGCTCCGCGGCTCCCAGGGCGGCCGGGCAGGTGAGTGGAAGAGCGCGGCGGGCGGAGACGCTGCTCAGCTGGCCCCGCCTCCTTCTGGTTTCCATGAGCACCGGCCGCCAGGCGCCAAGATGACAGCGCTCGGGATTTTTATGAATGGGTGACGTCACGGGCCTTGGCGTCTGGCGGTCTGAGCGGCTTGTTAAGGCAGGGAGCCGGGCGGGGGAGGGAGCGGCGGCTGCGCCCGCTGTGGGAAACTGCTATGAACGGCAACACTCCAGGTCGAGGTCCGGGCGGGGGAGAAGCGGAGCGTGTTAGGTCAGGGACCCCGATGGTCGTGCGAATGGAACACGGGCGGAAATTGGTGCAAGAGGCAAAGGGTTTTCTCTGGAAGGGAGGGCTGGGAACGTGCGAAAAGGCCCTGGTTGCGGTTTGGATAGCCGGACGGGAGACCACGCAGCGACGCTCCTTGCGATCCGCGGCTTGGGAAGCTTTTCGCGTGGATTTTCGTGTCATTTAGGGACGCGTTGTCGCCTCTTTGCCAGGCTGTGATTTTCACTTTTAAAGTGAATGGGGACGCCAATTCGAGCGTTTTATGACAATTCAGGCCTGTTTTACACAGACATACACACGCAACACACAATAAATGACACACCAACCCAAAATACAGAGTATAACACAAAGCACAGAAACGACACACAAAACACACATCGTAATAATATATAAAATGACACACCAACACAGCAAATAACACACAAAACACAGGATAAACGACACACACACACACTGAGGAAAAGAGGCGTGATTGTGACCTTTAAGTCACTCAATCCAGTCTTCCACCTCGACACGATTCCTGCCAGGGACAACTTGAGACAACACACGGGTGTGTAGCCTCCGTGCGTGTAGCCTGACCCGAGAATCCCCGTCCACATGGACCTCGTTGCGGAACCAGGAAACCGATCTGAAAATTGCCGTTATCAGTTCCGGCTGCCGCATTCGGTGGCTCCGTTCACACAACGCGCCCGACTAGGTCAGGCCAAGATTAGATGCTGCATTGTCGCCGTCCGTTCCGCAGGCGTTGAAGGAACCTCCAGGGAAGGGGGGGGGCAAAGAAAACCCCCATCCAGGTAGTGTCCTTCATCAAGCCCTCCAGATGCCTCCTGGCACAGATCCAATAGTTCCCAACTGGCAGGGTGGAAGTCATGGGTTTTGTAGTCTGCTTGCCCCCCCCCCCAGACCAGCAGATTCCGGAGCGAGCTGAAAAAAAAAAAAACGGCTGTCAAATCACATTCCTCCAGAGCATCGCCTGCCTGGATTCCTCAAGGCTGAATGCGCCCCCTCCCCACTAAATTTGTCGCGGGGGGGGGGCGCCCACAATGTGCTCGAGGTGCGGAAGAGGAGGCGAGAGAAGGAATGTTCAGACATACTTTTGTTTCCGTCTCTGCGGGTCGCGGAGAGGAAGAAGTGTCAAAGCTGTCAATAGACTCCTTTCAACCTTCCCTCCCCCCCTCCCTCCCGACAACATGTCCCGGGGCACCCTCCACCTGCACCTGGCCCCCCTCCCCTTCCTCTTCTTCCCTCCCCCCTTCACACGACCAGCAGAGGGGGCGAAACCCGCGTTTGCAAACAAATGAGTCCCGAGTCCGATCAATGAAAGCATGAGAGCGGCAAGTCACGCCCCGCTCCTGTCATTGGCTGCCCGGCAGCCGCGTGGCTCCGCCCCGCGGCTCGGATCGCTATAAAAGCCGCCTCTTGGGCGCCGGAGCTTCACTCGCGGCTGCGTTCCATGCGCGTTTGGTTGTGCCAGCGTGTTCTGTCCTCGGGGTTGCGTCCGCGTCTCGTCTCCCGGCCATGAAGGTGGTCCCCGCCGCCGCTGCCCCCGCCGCATCCCCCGGCCCTAGCTGCGCTCTCAAGGGCGCGGGGGGCGAGCCTTCGCCGCGCTGCCTCTCGGAGCAGAGCGTGTCGCTGTCTCGCGTGGGCAGCCCCCCTTCCCGGGGCTTGCCCCTCGGGCCGGAGCAAGCCGCCGCCGCTGCCGCCGCCTCGCTGCTTCTGGACATGAAGGGCTGCTATTCGCGCCTGGCCGCGCTGGTGCCCACCTTGCCTCGCCACCGCCGCGTGTCCAAAGTGGAGATCCTCCAGCACGTGATCGATTACATTTGGGCGCTCCAACACGAGCTGCAGGACCCGCTGACCGCCGGGGCGCCCCCGCCGCGGGGCGTGGACGAGCCGGCCGGAGCCGAGGTGAGCCCCTCCCCGCCAGGGCAGATCCCCCCAGGAGAGGGCTCCGTGGGTTTGTGCCCGTCTCCCACCCGCGCTCAGAGCACGCAGAGAGGTCTCCGTGGGGCTTGTGCTCCTCTCCCACCCGCACCCAGAACCCGAACAAAGATTCCTTGGGGTTGTGCCCACCTCCCACCCGCGCGCAGACTGCTCAGCGAGGGCTCCGTGGGGCTTGTGCCCATCTCCCACCCGCGCCCAGAACACGCAGCGAGCCCTCCGTGGGGCTTCTTCCCGTCTCCCACCCGCGCCCAGAACCCGGACAAGGGCTCCGTGAGTCCGTGCTCATCTCCCACTCGCGCAGTGCGCAGCAAGGGCTCCTTGTGCCCATCTGCGCCCAGAATCTGAACAAGGGCTCCGTGGGTTTGTGCCCATCTCCCACCCGCGCCCAGAACGCGTAGCGAGCCCTCCGTGGGGTTTGTTCCCGTCTCCCACCCGGGCGCAGAGTGCGCAGCGAGGGCTCCGTGGGGCTTGTGCTCATCTCCCACCCGCGCCCAGAACGCGTAGCGAGCCCTCCGTGGGGTTTATTCCCGTCTCCTACCAGGGCGCAGAGTGTGCAGTGAGGGCTCCGTGGGTTTTGTGTCCGTCTGCACCCCACTTCATGCTCCTGAGTTACTTCCAAGAGCGCTGCCAGGCTCCGGAGAGTTTCTTGTAGGGTTTTTTTGGGGGGTCAGTTATGCCTCCCATTGTTGGTGTGGGGTCTCCTGCCCTTCTCCCAATAAATCCGTGGGCCACCGAACAGGAATTCTGCTTGCAAGGGTGGAGGGGCATTCTCATCCCTGTGCCAAGGGCCATCCTTGCCAGTCCTTCTGGTGGGCATCGATGTTCCCCCCCCCCAGGTGGGCCCCAGGGGATGCCAGCGACCTGCCAGCATGGCTGAAGATTGTGTAGAACAGTAGAAAGGAAATTTTGGTCAATTTGGCTAGCCGCAAATCCAGCCGGATCTTGTGGCGCCCTTTACAAGTCAAGAGTTGTAACAAGTTCTCTAACCAGGCAGAAGCTTTGGAAAGAAAGTTTTGGCTTTTGAATAAATTTTGGGTAGCCACAGAAAGCGCTACCGTCTCCCTGGATTCTTAGAGGAAAAAAAAAAGTCACTTTAGGATCTTGAGAATTAGAGAGGATTTCCCTGTAATTCGCCGTCTGAATTGTGTCACTCTTTCCAAATCGGTTCAAGGCTGCTGGGCTGTTTACTTCCAAAATTTACGTAAACCTCCAATCAGCCAGTTTGCAAATCTGCTTCTTTGCAGGTTGGATTTTTAAAAATTTTTTTCCTCTTTTTATATATTTTTGTATAATATATATATATGTAGATCTTTGGTTGTTCGGGTTTTCTCCTACGTAAAATTGGAAATGTCTTGGCGACGTTTCGACGAAGTCCCATTGGTTATCTTCAGGCTGGTGTTTTCGGCTTTGTGCTTCCTAGAAGCACGAAGCTGAAAACACCAGCCTGAAGATGACCAATGGGACTTCATCGAAATGTCACCAAGACACTTCCAATTTTATGCGGGAGAAAACCCGAACAACCAAAGACCTACATATATATATATATATATATATATATATATATATATATATATATATGTATATGTATATGTATATGTATATGTATATATTCTGGAATATGGTCCTTTTGTAGAAAGTACAGGTTGTTCTCTATTTACAACAGTTCATTTAGTGACTGTTTGGCACTGAAAAAAGCGACGTGACCATTTTTCAGTCACCACCTTTGTAGCGTCCCCATGAGCAGGTGATCAAAATCCAGATGCTTGGCAACTGGTTCATACTGATGACCGTTGCTGGGTTTCAAGGTCACATCATCCCTTTTTGTTTCCTTCCAACAAGTAAAGTCAAGCCAGGCTCACTTAACAAAACGTTACTCACTGCAATGATTGGCTTAACAAAAATGAGGCACCACTCACTTGACAGATGTCTCCCTTAACAAACCGTTGGGTTCAGTTGTAGCTGTAAGTTGAGCCCTATCCAAATACAGCTGTGTATTCCCTTCTCCTTTATAAAACACCAAGGTTTGCTTATTTGGAATTTTATTTAATGAGATTGAGGATTCTTTTAATTGTGCCAATCAAGGGCATTCGCTGTTGGATTCTGGGTGAGTTTGCGGGTTTTTTTTTTTCCCCACCTGGCTTTTCCAATCTTAAAGAGATGGGAATAAATGCAAAGAAGAGAGAAGTCTCTGGATGAAACAGCTGTTTTAGGGACGTGTCGGCTTCCGAGTTTCACAACACTCCTGTTGACATCACTCTGGTGATGTTTGCAAGCTGCTGTCGCCGTCTTTTATTATTATTTTTTTTTGTTCCTCTTTTGACCACTGCAAACTGTACAGTAACCATTGAACTTTTTTGTCCTGGGATGATGATAATAATGTTGGAAGGGACCTTGGAGGTCATCTAGTCCAATCCCCTGCTCAGGCAGGAAACCCTATACCATTTCAGACAAACGGTTGTCCAGTCTCTTAAAAACTTCCAGCGTTGGAGCATTCACCGCTTCTGGAGGCAAGCCATTCCACTAAATAACAATAACAGAATTGAAAGGGACCTTGGAGGTCATCTAGTCCAACCCCCTGCTCAGGCAGGAAACCCTAGACCATTTCAAATGGTTGCCCAGTCTCTTCTTAAAAACTTCCAGTGTTGGAGCAGTCACCGCTTCTGGTGGCAACTCGTTCCACTGATTAATTGTTCTGTCAGGAAGTTTCTCCTTAGTTCTAGGTTGCTTCTCTCCTTAATTGGTTTCCATCCGTTGCTTCTTGTCCTGCCTTTAGGGGCTTTGGGGAAGAGCTTGACTCCCTCTTCTTTGGGGTAGCCCCTGAGATACTGGAAGACTGCTATCCTGTCCCCCCTCATCCTTTCTCTTCATTAAACTAAGGGTAGAAACGCTGCTGCTAATGTCTTATCTTAACAAGTTGTTTTTCGTTTCGTTTTTTAAAACAGCCTGCTTGTGTTAGCCCGGATGACGGAATCTTGTGCCGCTGAAGATCCCTTTGAAGGCTGCCAGAAGATCTGTTGAAATGCTTCCTATCCCTCCAATGGCAGGGAAAAAAAGAATGGGGTGCTTCGCTGGTGATGGGGGGGCTCCCTTGTCTGCCCCATTCCTATCTCCCCAGATGTGGGCCGCACAGCAGATTGAAAGTGGTTTTACAGATCCAGATGTTGATGGGACTTCTCGTCTTTTATCGCCCTGGTGCTTAATTCCAGAAGGGATCAACTCCGCTAGAATTGGACTCTGAATAGGCATCTTTTAACGTCTTGATGGGACAGTGCCTTTTTTCCCCTCTTTTTTTTTTGCTTTCTTAAAAAAAAGCTAGGATTAAAACTTCACCCGAATATTTCTCAGTTTTCTGAGAATCGACCGTATTGTATATTACAATGCTCCTATCTCTGAGAATATTTTTCTATATTTTTTTGCTGTTAGGGAACAAATGCATATTGCTGTGAAAAAAGGCTGTTTTTGTAGAGTGTGTTTCATTGGGGCTGGGAGGGGGGGGAGATCCCCAGACTTCAGTTCAATACTTGGGGGGGGGACTTGGGTTTGATGTCACAGCCAGGGGTCTTCAAACTTGGCAACTTTAAGACTTATGGACTTCAACTCCCAGAATTCCTCAGCCAGCCCTGAGCCCTTATATAATAATAATAATAATAATAATAATAATAATAATAATAATAATAATAATAATAATAGTAATAATATAATAATAAAGTTGGAAGGGACCTTGGAGGTCATTGAGTCCAACCCCCTGCTCAGGCAGGAAACCGTATACCATTTTGGACAAATGGCTGTCCAGTCTCTTGGAAACTCCACCAATCGTACGCCAGGAATGGCTGTCAATTACAGTGTTTCTTGGCGCTGGCCTGCTTTGTGGATTTCAACTCCCAGAATTCCCCAGCCAGCCTTGTTAAAAGTCCACCAGTTTAAAAGCGACCTTTGTGAATGTGTGAGTGAAAGAAAGAAGAGGCTAAACTTGGTCTCAATCAGGCTGGGAATGAGAAAGTGCTGACCTGGAGGATAGGTCTCCTGCCTTGAGCAAGGGGTTGGACTAGATGACCTCTGAGGTCCCTCCCAGCCCTAGCATTCTAAACACTTGGGAGATAACCCACTCTGGTAAAAGGCTGAGATAAAACTCTCCTCGATGATGATGCCTGAAGGCAGGAGAATCAGAATCTTAGCCTGGAAGGGACCTTTGAGGTCATCTAGTCCAACCCCCTGCCCAGAACAGGGTCCTCAGCTCCTCCTCCTGAAAAATGGCTGCCCAATTTTCAACAGATGCAGCTCGCAGCTCCCATAACTTCGGAAAACTCTTGTTTTCTACTCCTTTCAGAGTTGGGAAATTCAGACCCACCAAAGATAAGAGGTGGTCCTTGACTTACAGCAATACATTTAGCGACCAAAGTTAAATGGTACCGGAAAAAGTGACTTATGACCATTTTTTCACACTTAACGCCCTTCGCAGCATTCCCCACAGCCATACAATCAAAATTGGCAACTGGCTCACACAGGTAGTCCTCAACTGAGCCCCAAACTTTTGTTGCTAAGTGAAACATTTATTATGTGATTTTTTTTCTCATTTTCCGACTGCAGTCGTTAACTGAGTCCCTGCGGCTGTTAAGTAAGTAACACGGTTGTTAAGTGAACCCGGCTTCCCCACTGACTGCTTGTCAGAAAGTCGCAAAAGGGGGAATCACGTAACCCTGGGACACTGCGGCCGTCGTAAATGCGAGTCGGTCGCCAAGCTGACTGAATTTTGATCACGTGAAGGTGGGGATGTTGCAAAATGGTCGTAAGTGGGAAAAACGGCCTTGTCACTTTTTTCAGTGCTGTCATCACTTTGGTCACTAAATGAACTGTTGTAAATTGAGGACTAACGGCTGCAGTGTCCTTGGGCTCACATGATCCCCTTTTGTGACCAGACAGATCAAATCAGTGAGGAAACTAGATTCACATAACCAGTCTACTAACCTCCAAGGTTCCTTCCAACTTTATTATTATTAACAATCGCAATGATTCGCTTAACAATGTTGGCAAAAGTCCAAAACTCGCTTAACAACTGTCTGGCTTAGCAACAGAAATTTTGGGCTCCCTTGTAACAAAGAGAAGGACGAGGGGGGACATGATAGCAGCCTTCCAGTATCTCAGGGGCTGCCCCAAAGAAGAGGGAGTCAAGCTATCCTCCAAAGCGCTTGAAGGCAGGACAAGAAGTGACGGATGGAAACTAATCAAGGAGAGAAGCAACCTAGAACTGAGGAGAAACTTCCTGACAGTGAGAAAAATTAGCCAGTGGAACAGCCGACCTCCAGAAGCAGTAAATGCTCCAACACTGGAAGTTTTTAAGAAGAGACTGGGCAGCCATTTGACTGAAATGGTGTACGGTTTCCTCCCTGAGCAGGGGGTTGGACTAGATGACCTCCAAGGTACCTTCCAACTTTATTATTATTTTAGTGTCACATGTTTTCTGCCCTGCAACCCTCTCCCAAGCTATTTTGATTCCTTTTCTTCCCACTCTCAGCCCTGGGAAACTGAGGCCCATACCTCAAAGGCAGCAGTGTGCTCTTTTAGTGTTCCTGGGTGCAGCGTCATTTGCAACTTGGCCTGCTGGTTGGGGTGACTTTTCTGCGGAAACTGGGTGGGTTAGGGCAGTGCTGAAGAGCAGTGAGTAATGCTGCAGCTTGAGTGGGAAGGAACCGGTCCCTGCCAGTCCCTAGAGGTGGAGAAGGCAGGGCTGAGTAAATTTGCTGAGCAGCTGCTAAGCTGGAGGCAAGAGTTTACCCCGTGGAGCAAAGCTGGATTGCAGAATTAGAGAAGGAACAGTCGGGACAGGCCGTGGAGATCTTCTAAGGAGGCCTGCAGAGAAGACCAACTATGGTGATTGAAGGCTTGGAGACCCCCCCCCCCAAAAAAAATAATAATACGAAGAAAAATACATAGGAACTGGGGATGGCCAGTCTGGAGAAAACTGCATCCAGTTGTTGATCACCAGGATAGAAAAAAAGATGTTGAGATTGTACATAAAGAGTGCAAAGAAAAACAATTAAGATGATTTAAGGGCCTGGAGACAAAAAAAAAAAAATACAAAAAAATATATAGGAACTGGGTCTAGAGCAGTGGTTCTCAAGCTTTTTAATGCCGCGACCTCCAACCGGTCGTAAGTCAAGGACTACTCAACCGGTCGTAAGTCGAGGACTACTCAACCGGTGCAGCACCGTTTGCAGAATGGGACTTTTGGCGGGCTCAGCAGGGCAGAGACAGCCTGGACAATTCCTATTGGTTTTGGAAAGCCAATAGAATTAGACTCTATTCAAGAGAGTCTATTCTATTGGCTTTCAAAAGCCAATAGAATAAAAGGGAGTAGCACAGCTAAGGAAAAGGGGGAAAAAAATGGCGGAGTGCGTTGTTTGGCGACCCCCGTGAAATGGTCGTTCGACCCCAAATGGGGTCCCGACCCACAGGTTGAGAACCACTGGTCTAGAGAAAACTGCATCCAGTTGTGATCACCAGAATAGAAAAAAAGATGTTGAGATTGTACATAAAGAGTGCAAAGAAGAACAATTAAGATGATTTAAGGGCCTGGAGACAAAAAAAAAATACAAAGAAAAATATATAGGAACTGGGTCTAGAGAAAATTGCATCCAGTTGTGATCACCAGGATAGAAAAAAAGATGTTGAGATTATAGATAAAAGAGTGCAGAGAAGAGCAACTAAGATGATTACGCGCCTGGAGGCTAAAAGGTGAACAGTTGCAGGAATTGGGTATGGCTAGTGTGGAGAAAAGGACTGGGGGGAGATATAGTGGGACATGATAGTATACCATTATTTGAGGGGCTACCACAAGGAAGAGGGGGGTCCACCTATTCTGCAAAGCACCCGAAGGCAGAAGGACAAGAAACGAGGGATGGAAACTAATCAAGGAGAGAAGCAACCTGGAACCTGGTGAGAACAATGAACCAGTGGAACTGCTTGCCACCAGACGTTGTGGGTGCTCCATCACTGGAGGATTTTGAGAAGAGGTTGGATAGCCACCTGTCTGAAATAGTGTAGGGTCTCCTACTTGAGCAGGGGGCTGGACTAGAAGACCTCCATGGTCCCTTCCAGCTATAATAATAATAGAAGGGACCTTGGAGGTCATCTAGTCCAATCTCCTGCTCAGGCAGGAAACCCTATACCATTTCTGATGAATAGTCCCGCTCTCTGCTCAAGCAGGAGACCCTAGTTATAACAACAGTACTGAAAAAAAAAATTATTTGCCAGCAGGCCTCGCAGTTATGCCCGTTGCACAATCCCTGAGGTCACATGATCAAAATTTGGAGGCTTGGTAACTGGCATGTATTTAATGACGGTTGCACTGTCCCGGGCTCTCATGATTGCCATTTGTAATCTTCCCAGCCGGCTCCCGGCAAGCAAAGTCAATGGGGGGGGGGGAGCCTGATTTGCTTAACAATCATGCGATTTCACTTATTGAGCGCAGAGATGTAATAATAAAAATATAAATATAAATAAATAAATAAAGTTGGAAGGGACCTTGGAGATCATCTAGTCCAACCCCCCTGCTCAGGTAGGAAACCCTATACCGTTTTAGTCAAATGGCTGTCCAGTCTCTTCATAATAAATAATAATACAGTTGGAAGGGGCCTTGGAGGTCATCTAGTCCAACCCCCCCTGCTCAGGTAGGAAACCCTATACCATTTTAGTCAAATGGCTGTCCAGTCTCTTCATAATAAATAATAATACAATTGGAAGGGATCTTGGAGGTCATCTAGTCCAACCCCCCTGCTCAGGTAGGAAACCCTATGCCATTTTAGTCAAATGGCAGATTCGCTTAACAACCGTGTCAAGGTCATAAAACGGGGCATGACTTATTTCACAACTTCTTTGCTTTGCAATGGAAATTCTACCTGTACAGAAGGGAGGGGCTGGCAGCAATGGAAAAGAAGGGGCTCGTAGGAAGGAGACCCCCCCATAGGGGGACATCAGCCTGGAGAGACCTCAGGCTCTTTCAGGAAATGAAATTAGAGGGATTTAGCTGGGCAACTTTGAGTGGCATGAGAAGGATAGAGGGGCATATCTACAGATCTAAGACCCACAGGCTACCAAAAAGAAAATCAGATTCATTGGAGGGAGGGAAATATAATTACAATTCCTTGAGATTAATTTATAGTGGGAAAAAGAAGCACGTTAAAAATTGGGGGGGGGGGAAGAAGCGAAAATAGGATACTGGATGAATAAATGGATATTGAGTGCAAATGCAATTAGGATATGTTTCGGTTAGAAAAGATAATTTTAAACCGATATCCTTGATACGATTAGAAAACTGTAATAAATGCTGATATTGAACAGTATATTGATTAACAACAAGAAGAACTGTATTTGCTTAATGTGGGAAAAATATTTATTCCCGGAAGAAAAGAGGAAGTATTGGATGGCGTAATATTGGATTTAGTTTGAAGAAGCTT